TTTTTTTTTTGACCAGGGATTGAACTCGGGACCATACACTTGTGCGGCAGGAGTGGCATCACTGAGCTAAATCTCTTTCCCTATAGAACATGTCTTAGAGGAGAATTTTACAGTTTACTAGTAAAAGTTACTCTAAATATAAATCAGAACAGCTGGTCCTGAGTTTTTTTATACAGTGCAGGCACGTTTAATGTCACAGGACATAGAAATTTAGACCCCGAATGTAGAATCCATATTTTATCCAAGTAGTGTCCATAGAATGACTAATATCAAAGATAATAGATATTCACTGAAAATAAAGTTTTATGACCAAATATATTCCCAATGCACAGTATTTGTGAGATTTTTGACATTCTTTACCCTATTAAAGTCTCTGAGAAGTCCTATAGGAAAAGAGCTCTGTTGACCATGTGTGTTGACCCTAGTTGTTCCTCGTCCTTTATACAGAACAGATCATTTATACATAACACCAGGTGAGCAAAGTTATACTAACTGGATGGTTGGGAATGGGAAGCGTTGTTCCGATTGCTCTCCCAAGGCCTCCCCGGACTTACTCTTCTCATTGTCAGCATCTTGATTGTCGTCCTCGTCGTCATCACCACCATCATCGTTGCAAAATATTATTAACTTATTTTGTTTGAGAGTCTTTCAAAAGGAATTACACACAATGATTTTATTCTTCAAGTTTACAATTCACTGACTAAACTGTGAAACCATGATCTGGTACCTTTTCAGTTTAGACTGCAGGCCTGGTATTTAGTTAGGGAAGAGGTGTTGTGCTCAGACTGAAAGTTTTAGGATAAAGCCATCATCTATTACCTACATTTATTTGGAAAACAATTCTGGAAATGTTGAAATAATGGAGAAATGGCTGGGGCAGTTAGTTGCGAAGAATGTTTCTGGCCCAAAAATGCAATACATTAGGCAAAGAAAATGGGAACAGATGCAAAAGGACTTTTGTTTGGCTCTGACCAAAACAAGGGCTTTCTTATTTCAGGGCTTCTAGGAAGGGGAACAAGGAGGGAGCCGAGAGGCTGAAAAGAAGGACAAATAAGAGAAGGACAAAGCAGGCCTGACCAGCCTCACACTAATCGCAAAGCAGGCTCTATTCTTATTTATTTACAGGATTGCATGATTACTTATGTTTTATAGGGCTGGGGATGTAGCTCAGTGGTGCCTCACCTGCCTGGCAAGCGCAAGGTCCTGAGTTTGATATCCGGTACCAGAAAAAAAATTATATTTTATATACATAAACATTTAGTTTCTTTACTAGAAGGTTACAACCTATTATGCCTTAATTTTATCATTTTTATAAAATTATAACTCAGTGTTATAATTTTATCATTTTTATGAAATTATAACTCAGTGAGTTATTGGCAAATATTATCTTTATGAATATACTTAGGGATAGGATTACATTAGTATTTAATTTTTGATAATGAAATAAGCACTGAGAAATGGCAATGTACAATATAAAATGAAATCTACATTTAATCAACTTTCATTACTTTGATAAGAATGAACATGTAAAATACTTTAAGGCTTATTTTAATACTTGTTTCAAATGTTCAAGCTACTTTGAATGGGTACTTATTTTGGTACTATAATGTATTATTAGTTCTTACTGAGTTTATAGTTAGGGAGAGTCCTTTAGCAATGGATTTCAGTAAAAGACAGCTTTCTAGAAATATTCTCATATTAATAAAGACAATCACTTTTCATTCATTGTGATTTATTTACTTATGTACCTAAGCCACAGCTTTTAAAACTGAATGGGCAAATGGCAATATTTGTGACAATTGAGGACTCTATTTCTCAATCTTCTAGATATCACTCCTATCCATGGGGGACCAAGAATCACCCAACCAAAAGATGAAAATGCATTTTGAATGCAGTTGATTTTCCTGATGAAGTTCAAATTCTGATTTCATCCGCTGCTGCAAGATGTCCAAGGACTGAATGTTGATAGATGGAGGTGGAAGAGAAAAGACCAAAATGCCATGGGGCCTGCAGGACCTTAATTCATGAGGTCCTGTGCAGGGGTATATATGACAGCTATAGTTCTAGGGAGTTCCTTTCTAGTAGTCTGTAATTATATACAAGATGACTGGGCTAGCAATGTGTTCCTGGGAGAAAATGCTGCAAAATTCATCTGTTCACGTGTGGATGGGGGACCATACACAAAGAACTTTCCTCCAAGTTAAAAAAAAAAGTCATATTTTTTCAAAGAAACATTTTATACTCAGGATAGCTGAAACTAGGTTGAAAGACATCTAGTCTTCCATGTATATAAAATAGTTCTTGATAAAGAAAAGTAGAGGCCCTAGAATGATACATTGGGTGATTTACTGTGTCCCCAATTTTTTTATCTTAAAAGATATTCAAAATGTGTTTTTTTAAAACGAAAGGATTGGTTCTCTCTTAACCACTTGGGTGCTAGTGGTCTTGAACCATGATACAACGTAGACAGTATTTATAACCTTGCACAGAATCTGGGAATAAATTACAAACTGTCAGATTTAACTTAGATTTATAGCATATATCGATATATAGTATGTATATATGTACATATATATTGGGGAAAGGTTTTGATTAGATGAATGCTTTGCTGCTAATTAAACTTATAGTGTTTGTAGAGCACTTTGAAGAGTTCATAGAATCTATGAAAGAGACACATTATTCCTTATTCTAAGTCTCTCATTAAAATCACCTCTGTTTTAAATAAATGTTTATTGTTTGGATATTTGAAATGGAAATAAGTTATATAATAAAATGTAAATTCTTTCTTTACTCATTGAGATAGCCCAAAGAAAGAAAATGCCAGATAGTGTCCCTGTTGCTAAGTAGAAAGCATTTATGAAGATAATTTACTAGATTTTTGTTGGCCTAAATTCTTCAACTGGCTTATTATAACTCTGGTGTAATGTCAAGAAATGTCCACATTGCCAAAGGAAACCACTTGTACCTAAAGAACAGTTTATTCCATCTAGTTTGCAACCTGGTCGCTTAAACTATGCTTTTTATTTACTTCTCAGAGAGTTCTCTTATCTTTAATTACATTGATATATTTTTAGCATGATTGAATAAAATTTTAATCTATTTACAGTAGCTAACACAATGTATCCTTTATTTACTGCAAATGTATACTATTTTAAAATTAGTATGTTTAATATTTAAGTGATATCCAAATTCCCTTTAATCATGCATTAATGCTTTTTGAAGGTTGCCAATGAATCTTTGTCTTTAAGCCAAATTAACAACTAAACACACTAATTTTAAATAATAGATTCAGACACAGTCATGAAAATGTTCAATTTCAGCTTTCAAACTAATTTCATCCATATATGCAAATATTACTAATTTGTTCAGGCAAAACTTTATTTCAATTTGAACCTGCACTGTCATTCTTTGTATTTTTTCATACAAAATTGTTTAAATGTATGGACATTTCTTAAATGTATGGAAATGGCACATTTCTTCCTTTGCAGGAGGCACAGCCTTTAGTGGGACTCTAACTGTGATAGATTTATTAATTTATTTAGAATTTATTCTAAGCCTGTACTTAGAATAAACTAAGCTATGGGGTGAAAGTTTGAATGGAATGTTTATTTATTTTTCTCAAACTGTAGTTTATAGGAAACAGAATTTAGAAAAGAATAGTATTCAAGGATTTACACCTTGGTAATAAAAGACCCAATGAGTTTTTGAGTTATTTGAGTTATTTAAAAATGCATACATTTGACTTTATTAACCAGAAAGGGAGCAAAATATTACTATCTGACTCTTCGGGGAGACAAGTGTGCCAGAAAACAGTAAGAGTTAACACAAATAAGCAAAGGGAAGTCCTTTTCAACAACTACTTCAGGCCCATCAAACCAAGCTGAGAGATGTACTGTTTTGCTAAAATAATGAAAGTGCTCTGTTTGAATTCTCCCTCAAGCTACAACAAACACTGACTCTGCATCCTCCCGTGCATAAAAATGTCTCTAAAGAAAAAGTTAGGCAGTAGGAAGGGAACAATTTCCTACAGGGAGAGACATCCCAACAGTGAAGTCAGCTTTTTAAAAACCATCTGGGCAGGTTCTAACCTTCAGAGGAACAGTGCATCCCCTCAGTAGTATTAAGAAGAAAGAATGGCCGTTTTGTTTTTATCTGCTTGACAAAATGTCTTCTACATCAAGAAATTGTTACTTAAGCTTAATCAGTCTGGTCATCGTTTCTGTTTCTTGATTGCCTTTAATTTGTCTCTTCCTTTTTTATAATTTTTAATTACTTGTTGTGGGATGAAATCCCTGTGAATTCATTGACTCCATTTAATTCCCAGTGACCGAATAGTTGTATGGGATAGAATTTGAATTAGTCTCTTCAGATAACTTTTGATACACAAATGCTTCAGTTAATTATGTTTTGATCCATTAGCTCTACTTTGAAACCTTAATTTGCTTTTTAAAAGCAAAATATTCTATCCTTAGGAAAGTGACTGCAGCCTAGGGTTACTTACTTTTTGATTTTTAACTTCTCTTGTTCCATATGTGCAGTCTTTAAGTGCAGGTTTTCAAGAACAGTAACATGGACACTTGGGCCACTACCTGTGGATGAATTTCAGAACCCTAAAGAAATTGTTACTTTGTTTTAATGTGGGCGTTTGTGTGGCTCTAGACAATGTGTCCCCTGTGCTTTGGCATTCGAAAGCAGAACATAATTTAAGAACACTGTTGTGAACTTTACTCAAATTATATAACTGATGAAGAGTGATGTTCTATAGGTACCACCCATCACTCGTTAAATGCTATGAATTTTGATGTTCAAAAATAAATGCAAGCCAGGCATGGTGGCACACACCTGTAATCTGAGCACTCGGGAGGCTGAGGTAGGAGGATCGCTGTGAGTTCGAGACCAGCCTGAGCTACATAGTGAATTCCAGGTCAGTCTCAACTACATAGTGAGACCCTGTCTCAAAAAAACCAAAATAAATAAATGAATGCAAGACTGGCTGATTATGGGCAATTCCATCAATATCAATTAAACACAACTTAGGTTAAAGATGTATGAAGGCAATAATATTGGTTAGTCAATTCTGTGTATTAATATGCACGCAGCCCACACTCCCCTTTTTGATAAAATAACTTTTCTATGTAACATGATAGTTTAAGTTGCATATTGTAAATTTGACTGTTATGGTTCATTACAGTCCTGCTATGATGTTATTTCAAGTTTTGCAAGAGGGACAGAAAGAGCTTATGATTTTTGTAAGTGATGGATAGGTATTGCTAATTCATCCATCTCCTGGACCCATGGATAATAGTTATTTTAAAAAAGAAAGATGACATATCCTAAAACCATAGTGGAATTCTTCTAAAAGATATGCTGGATTTTTTTTACTATAATTATGCAGCATTCAATTAATAATAGAAACAATTTTAATATAGTTATTTAATTATTTAATAATTATTTAATCCTAATAATTATTTAATCCTAAAAGCAGATGAGCACTTTTGCGGGGGGTTGAGACAGGGTCTCACTATGTAGTTGAGTTGAGATTGACCCAGAACTTGCTATGTAGCCCAGGATAGTCTCAAACTCACAGCAATCCTCCTGCCTCAGCCTCCCAGTGCTAGGATTACAGGTGTGCTCCACCACGCCCAGCTCAGATGAGCACTTTTAATTGAACCCTAAGGTTACTCCTCTAAAACGGTAGTTATACTTTTTCTCTCCTTTTGTATTTGTAAAGCTTTCTTTGCATTGTAACCAGCTACTGAATTTAGAATTAACTTGTAATCCAGAGGCAGCTTATCTTTGTTTCCCCTGAGCAAATAAAAGAGTTTTATCTTTATGGAAAATTATGGCTGACTGCCATTTTGACAGACAACAACTCTGGATAGACTCTTGGAATAGATGGGCGAGTTTACATGTGAAAAATTAGCTGAAGTTGTTGCAAACATGTAAAGAATCATGCCATCAAAGAAGTAGGGAAAGATGTGTACAAAAAATGACAAGAGGAAAATGAAGAAATGCTTTAAAGTTATAACACTTTCAAATTGGAGTGTGAAAGTTACTTATAGGATGACTTTTTTAACCTGTAATTTAGGTCTGCATTTCAAGTCAAGATTCTGAAAGAGTCTTGTTTTTGAGGGACTACAAAGTTTCAGCTAAAAAAAAAAAAACCGGGATCCTTTCTGTTTACCATGTTTACTTTATATCTGGGAATTTTGGAGGAAATGAGTGACATTAGGTACTAAAGGGGCATCTCTACTTATTAAAGATGAAAGATCTTCCATGCAAGTGAGACAATTCCTGAATGAAATCTTGTTCAAGAAGTTTGAGGGGGCAAAATAGGAAGTGAGTGATTAGGCCAGTGGAGTGACTGGCAGGCTTCTGAGGCCTTTAGGTAGCTCCAGAAACATGGGTGATTGGTATTTCTGGGTCTCCTCAAAGCAGCTGATGGGATCCTTCTCCAGTGGGCAGTTTTTATTCGATTGTTAGCTGGGCACCATTACAAGAATGGGACCACCCAAAACAAGACAGTAGCAGAAAGCGCCCAAGGACCCCCAAGTAACACGTTGGCAGACTTAAGGCAACAGCCCACGAAGTATTCCAAAGACTTTATATTCTTCAAAGAAGCAGTTTTTGGTTTTTCTTGTTCTGGGGATTAAACTCATGGCTTGGTGAATGCTAAGCACATGTAGTATTACTAAACTACACATCCCCCAGCTCCTAAGAACCAGTTCTATCTGGCAATAAATGATGTCTCTGTGCCCCAGGGGACTATGTTTTCCTCCTCATCTTTTAGCCATAGCCCCAGGTCCCTTCTAACTGACAATGAAAATTTTACAAGAAATATTACATGGCTAAATGCAGATATTTTTGAATATGCCTACATTTAGCAAGATTAGAAAAACACTGCAAGCTATTTTAGTTGCCTGCAAGGAAACCAATTGATAATTAGGCTGTGGAAAGATTCCATCATTTTACTCTTCCAAACTGGGTAACAAAAGTCACATAAAGGAAAAATCTTGGGACTGTATTTTGCTTGCTGACATTTAGTGGATTAAAACTGAGTTATGCTGCCTATATCATATTACTACCCTGTGGTGAGTTTGTGAGAGTCAAAAAGAATCGCGCTATCCTCTGGTAGGAAGCAAAGCCCCTGACCTAAGGTCACCTAGAACTTCTATTTGCTCGACTGCCTGTGTCCACAAGGAAAGCTTGTGTGTACAGAATGCAAAAGTACTTATGGTGTGCCTTTCCCCTTTGTCTCTAAGATAGCAATTTTCTTGTTTGTTTCAGCAACTCCCATACTGGAGTCTCCTTCCTATAATCACCCAGCCCCCATATATCTACCCAAGGAACAGATTATTCCATTTCCTACAGGGGTCTGTGTGTCATCAGAAGGATGTCTGTAATTCTATAGGGGTATGAGATATGGAAGGCAGGTGGCTAATCTCCTTTGCACATGTTTTCTGAACTTCTCAGACCTCCCAAAATATTCCTGCATAAGCACAGCCAGATTCTAAAATGTCCATGGCCCTGGAAAGAAGGAAAAAGAAATGCTTCTGTAATGAACTTATATCAAATGTGTGCATGGGACCAGGGATTTAGCTCAGTGGTGCCACTGCCTGTCTCACAAGTGCAAGGTCCTGAGTTCGATCCCTGGTACAAAAAAAAAAGTACACAATTTTTATTATTGCTCCTGCTTAAAGATGCTGTGTAAAATGCTAAAGGAAATTTTAAAATGTATTTTCGAGTTACAGAAAAATGATTTCTCTTTTGTCAAGGGGGTTTTTAGCAAATGATCTTCTCTTTCCTCTCAAGTCACACATCTCTCCTTTTGTGCCTTTAAGTCTCTTGATTTAAAAAACATTCCAAACAGACAGTCATGTAAGTATGTAAACTCTCAGCTGTAATCTCTGGGTTCCTATAGTAATTATTTATTGCTATAGACATTGCATAACTGCTCCTCAAAACTTGGTGGTTTATGATGACAACCATTTCTTATTTCTTAGGTATTTTGTTGGTCTGCACTGAACTGTTACCTGGTAGGCTTCCTTCTGT